CTATTGTGAAGATTAGCTCATTTACGAAGAGGACTTAGAACAGTAGCCAGAACACAAATATTTAGAAATGTTAAATTCTTTATTGTTATTCTATTAATATTACCATTTTATGTATGTGTATATATATATATATATTTATATATACACATGTATGAAATCAGTCTAGACTTTGGCTAACTTATTTCAGAGAAGTAAAACCACCCCTACGTCTACTGCTCTGCATCGAGAGGCTGTGACCATTTCCATCTCAGGCTGAGGCTCTTGATGATGTCATGCCACCCTGCTCCCCTGGCCCAGCATCCTGGGAGGGATGATCAGTCCTTCTGTCTCATAGTCTCGGCTCCACCTCCATCTCTAAAGCCCAGTCATATGACCACCTGGGATTTTTCTCAGTTCCCAGAGATGCTCCATCTTTGATATTTAAATTCACGCTGTTTCTTCCCCAGCACTGTTTTCTGCTCTGCATATCATTGACTCTTCTCTTAAGCTTTTCTAGAGCTGTTTGTCTCTCCTCTCTTCATTTCATACCCTGAGGGGCCAAACTGTCAACTCCAGTATTGCAGGTATCATTCACTTCCTGCTCTCCATTCTACCAAAGTGTCCTTACTTGTCTATGTTGGAAGAGCCTGTAAACCTTGATCAGAAAACTTTCAGCTTGGGTCTCTAGTTTATGTTTAACACCTCACAAAGTACCTCATCCATAGAAGGACACAAGTTAAGTAATGTTGAATGAATGGCATTTGTATTTGAAATTTTCTGCGTTGATTCCATAAATTCATACCCTTTAGAAATTCTGCCTGGCATCATATATTGAAATTAATCATAGCAAGTATGACGGCTTCACTACAGTGTACTGATTTTCTTCCTTATCTTTATATTGTATTTCTGTTTTTCTCCAATTCTCATGATAGTCCTGCAAAGTAGATGCTATTATCCAATGTTTTTATGAAGAGACTCCATGAGGTTAAGTAATAAGCCCAGAGTTACACAGTTCATAAATATCTAAGCCAGGAGTGAAAAATCTACTCTGTATTTTTCCATAGCCCTGGCCTTTACTAGGATACAGTCCTCACTATACAAATCTAGTAAACAGTATTCTATTTTCTAACTACTTCCCTTGTACTTAAAATATCACTGAAACGTACTCTTGAAAAAAATATGCTTATGGATTTAGGGACAATTAAATCAAAGATAATTTAAAGATAATTTATATAATCCATATTTTAGTACAGTAACTAGATACAGTGTAGCTAGTCCATAGGAGAAGAGATGATGAGATGTTTCAGTTTTCAATAACAAAAATACACATTCAGTAACACCTACAAATAATATTTCTGTGGATCAGCTGACCAGTCACACTGCTGATTCACCTGCAAATTTAGGCTTTGCAATAATGGAGCAGGTGCTAAACTTTGCCAAGTGTACAGATTGCTCTGTGAATAACAGGCAATTCTGAGGTTTCATTTTCTCAAACTTTATAAGGATCAATAACTTACATAATTGTCTCTGATCAGGAACAAAAATCCAATATAGGATCTTGTATGGCTGACTAGTTACAGGCGAGCAGCATGTGGTTTATCTGAACTTCGGCAGGATTTTTATACCTAAGGAGGAAAACTGGAACCTGGTAACTGCCCAGGTTATTTTTGAAAACATAATTGTAT